ACTGCTTGTGTAGAAGTATGATAACTCAAGAGGTTTTCAATGGTTCAAGTGTTGGCTTGTCCCACGAATACCTAGTGTACAATTCCCAACACTGAAATAATTTGAAAGTTTCAGACAGTGGTTTAAAACAATACTCATTTATTTTCTCTAGTGGCTGAAAAAAGACCATTTGCTCTTTTAGTTGCATTGGCATTGAAACCGCCTATGTGTACATTGGCAAGCAGGTAAAGAGACACATTTGGTTGGGTTTAGAAATTGGCAAAATTGGCGCCTTTTACCAATACCTTTTTTAAATAATGTTAATCCCTTCCTTTGTCTTGTGAATTATTCACTTTCATTTGATGTAATTTAGAAAGCTGATATGGCTCCATCTTGTTGTCTTGTTATAGTTAGGATGTGGTCCATATTGTCTTGATTAATTTCAAAACATGCTGGGAACAACAGCTACCTGAGCTCACTGTTATGAGGATGTTGCATTGATTTCATCAGCTGTTGTTCATGCTGTCACTCATTTGACAGTGATTGGTAGCAGTAGGGTGTACATTAGCTAACCTATGCTTGAACAGCTCTGTTGCCAAAAAGCTTCAACACTTCAAAAAAGTTTCTTTTAAAAACAAATTTTACACTCTTTTGACTTGGAAATTCATTGATTTGAAAGTGATGAGAACGTACATTTTCAGTGTTTTAGACGATGCATTGTTGTCAGTGTTGAATCTGAACAGGCATTATCATCTTTGGGGGATTGCGGTATAGTATCGCTGGGCTAGCACGAAAAAACTGGCATTAGTCCTTATCCGGGACTTCAGCAACCCATACTTGTCGTAAGAGGCAACTAACAGGATCGGATGGTCAGGCTTGCTGACTTGGTTGACACATGTCATCGTATCCCAATTGAATAGATCGATGCTCATGATGTTTATCACTTGATCTTCTCTTCCAGACTCGATTATTTACAGACCACTGCCATATAGCTGGAATATTGCTGAGTGCGGTATAAAATGAAACTCATGTACTCACTGCACAAGTACAGGGACATTCTTCAGTGAAGAATTAAACATGTTTTTGAATCTAAGAAACCTTGAAATCTGTATTTGTTTAAGGTCAGGGTACTGGGGTTATTTCAGTCTCCAGTAACATCATTATCATCAGAGGCAACTCAGTATTTCGGTGATGTACCTGATGTGATCTTTCCAAAAGTTTAAAAGTCATATTTTTAAGAAGCACTTAGCATGGAGTTTGAAATGTTGTGTGAATGTATTTGTATGAGAACGAGTTGACCTCATGAATTTTCATTAGCCTTTGGCCTGCAGGATAGTGCGTCACTGCCTTTTCAGCAGTATCCAGGCCAGAGCTCAACAGCAAGTCGTCCAGAATGGGTTTACAAATATAATGGTGGAATAGCTGCATGTACCCAAACTGTTTCTCTCTGCATATCTACATGATAAAATGTCAAGTTTAGATAGGTTGTCAGCGATAGAAATTGAATTTTTAGTCCACTTGTCCTTGCAACATCTAGCAAATCCTGTCAAACTCTCTACATTGCCCAACTTTTAGGCAGTCTGGTAAGTACTTGATGACCAGTGCCAGTTTCTATTGCTGGTAGTAGTATTGCATCAGCTTTAGATTTCATGAAATATAGTTATTTAAAAAACCTGGAGAAAGGCATACAATGTCATAGATGATTTCAGTAACATTTTCAGTGACATTTTCAGTGACATAGGGTCATAGCCTTGTTCCAAGGTTGTACTGAAGGCTAAGCCCATGGATGTATAGTAATGTTATGCTTTAAAGAAGCAAGTCTAGATAAGCAGACAGTATAGTCTGTTAGAGGGTTATTTATAATTATTAGAAATTATCATTTAAACTACTAATTATTAGACCTGTGAAGGTCTGGGTTAGAATGTGCCTTCAGTAACCCATGCTTGTTGTAAGAGGCAACTAATGGGATCGGGTGGTCAGGCTTGCTGACTTGGTTGACACATGTCATCGGTTCCCAATTGCACAGTTCGATGCTCATGCTGTTGATCACTGGATTGTCTGGTCTAGACTCGATTATTTACAGACCGCCGCCATATAGCTGGAATATTGCTGAGTGAGGTGTAAAACTAAACTCACTCACTCAGTCACTCAATTATTATTGCCTTACAGACTTGTGCAAGTCTAGGAGGGTCACAATGGCCTCTGATATGTAGGCATATTAACCCCCATGGTTGCAGCATCACCCCATCTCATACATTTCAAACATGGTTGCCATGATGACAGTTTGTTGTGATGTGTGGACACAATATCACCAATAAAAAACATGGAAAAACTCCACATGCCTCAAATTGGAATGTCAAATGCGAAAAAGCTCTGCGCTTTGCTTGGAATTACATACAAATTCAATTTATTGATGACCTAAACATCATGTCTTCTAAAGGATTTGAGTTTTCAAACTTCAGAACTGCATGAAAAGGAATATGATTTCTTTAAGCAAACAGACACCATTTACAAAAACTAACAGAACAAGAGCCCTCCTAGAGCATAACCCTCTTTGACAGGGATTGAGAATTTGAGAACATGGTTTCCATCTGGGGTCTGGTGAAGGACTATAAACAAACAGTCATCTTGTCCCTGAATTCTTCACAAATACGCCTGCAAACATGGCCTCAGATCTGTCTTCCAGCCTTCCGGCCAGTTGGCAGACTATACTTCAGCCTTGTGGCCTGGGAGGCACTCCTCTGCTATTGTGCAGATAATTTAAGGGTTTGATAATATCGGAAACATTTGTCCCAATTTGATTTGTCTGGTTGTGAGGACCTTGGAGAGAGAGGCGATGTAAATTGAGTAATTGATTTGGAAATTTAACGAATTCAGTTTATGTAAGGAAGCATTTTTTAATGGCTGTTGTATTCCTGATGTGAAGTTAGTGTTGTGTTATTGGTGCAGTTGCTAATGGTAACGATGTTTAGTGTATAAAGGTAGAGGAGAGTGTTGAGAGAGATCATGGTGGGAAGAGGATAGTCCATTACTATGGCTGATGACGAGGAGGCATGCATGATGTATGGGAGGGATTTACTGAGACTGGAGACTGGAGGCTGATAATCGACCACAAGTCTGCAGCAAATGTCAGAATAAATGTCCAAATGGGGAAAAAAATCCAAATAAATCTTAATGTGATTGTAACTCATGTGATGCTTTGGTCAAGTTCTCTTATTTTCATTGATAACAGGCCAATAAGAGGAAGAGGCTCAAGTGCTTCATTTCACATAATTACATTGAATGCAGTGTAGAAATATAATGTACAGATATCTCTGTAACTACGTTTATAACATAACTGTATTTCCCCAATTTGAATGCCAAAGGCACTTAATTTTGAATCTCCTAATACTCTGCCATAATATGATATTTGAAACAAATCAGCATTGGGAAAAGACAGATCTTTGAAGGAAATAGTGAGTGTGTGAGTATTTAGCAATTTTCCAGCAATATCACACCCGGGGGGGGGAATCAGAAATGGGCTTCACACATTGTACCCATGTGGGGAATGAACCTGGGTCTTCGGCGTGAATATGTCCCCCAGAATATTGCTAAATATGGTGTAAATTAAAAACTCACTCACTCACTCACTCTTCAACTTTGACAGATCAGTGTTTGACTTTATGTGGACACTTAAAGTCATTCTTTACATCAGTGGAAGGACCAATCAATCATTGATGAAAGCTGATCATTTGAAGCTTGAACACCAACAGTCATGTTCATTTTTTCCCCAGACAATTCAACTGTTAGTCATAGTTCTGACCAATAATATGTGTATTTAGCAAGGATGGAACGATTGATCATGGAGTAACACTACTGCATCATATTTAGGATTTCTGTCATGGTATCAAGAGTATTATGTCATCCGACTTTAAACACATGATTTGGGTTGCTTTGAACAGTGTTCCAGTTTTATCATTCTGTTTATGATTTGATACGGGTCTTACAATTCAGACGAAACTACAAGCATGGTGTGGTGCTGACAAACCAAAAATATACTGAGGGAAACAAATAAGGGAACACATGAAAGCGCAAGTGTTCCTTTATTCTTTTCCAAGATTCTTGACCGCCTCTGTGGTGTAGTGGTTAGAGCGTCCGCCCGGAGAGCGGAAGGTTGCGGGTTCGATCCCCAACCGCGTCATACCAAAAGACGTTAAAATATGGTACTTGTTGGTCCCTGCCTGGCTCTCGGCATTAATGGGTACAACAAGGACTGGTCGGCTCGGAGTCAGTATAATGTGTCTGAGTGGGGTATTCATGCTTCACTGCGGCATGGTATCTCAGTGGGCTAGCACTATAAAACCAGCTTTAGTCTGGGCTAGTACAAGCAGCCGCACGTGCACATACACACATGCACGTCGTCATATGAGCGAAATATTCTCAAGCACGACGTAAAACCCAATTTCACCTCACCTCACCTCCAGGATTCTTATCAAGCTTTGTTTTGCACTGTGGGTGAAAATCTTAAAAAAAATAAAGGAACCCTGCGATGAAGTGAATATAATTGGGATGAAACACTGGATTCGATCCACAATCTTAGCTTTCCAATGACCCCAATGGATCAGCTATGCATAGCAAATTGCAGTGCCATAGACAGCTGGTCCTATCATTCCCCTTCAGATTTGTGAGTGTGTCATTTATGTCATTGCATTGCTCTTTTGGGAATTGTGGAAGGTATTAAAATGTACAAACATCATTACTGTTTCAGCAACAAAGATTGCACTTCTGAAACAGATGATTAATACTTAAGGTTGACATGTTGAAATGAGTACAGCTTAAGAGGGATTTTCTGGTGATTTTTTTTATGTTTAATTTCACGTTTCAGCAAATGTATGATGTATTGTCATTCATTTTAAGTTTGTTAACAGATTGCGTTCATTGCATATTCTCTTTCTGATGGAGATTGACACTAGTTAATTACATTACTCAGTTTCAAATTGATTAACAATCAATTATTTACGGTTTCCTTCTTCTCTTTTCAGAGCTTATTGGAAATAATAAAAAGTTCAACGTAAACTTCCAAGATGGCGATGGGTGAGTAAACATCATGAATATTCATGAGCTTGCTAAAGAGAAAGCTCTAGGCTTTCTGAACAGACAAATTGTCTCCAGTTAGGGATAAATTGCTAGTATTTGGGGCCATCCAGCAGGGAAAATTGGATGTACATTTCAGGCAAATTGATGTGAATATCAGCCCTCATATTGCTTGATTCACAGCATTCAGCACCCATGAAAGGATGTCTGGAGAAATGTGGACACAGGCTCTTGATGCTTGCCATAAAATATCAAACCTCTCCACAGTATCAAATTAATTTTTTTCTACACAGGATATTCATGAGATCTCGAGTTTCTCTTGATAAACTAATGTAATTGTGTCTTTGAATTTCCTCCCATAATGCTTTGTCATCATGGTCACAATTTGTTTCGTCAGTTGTCGTGGTAAGATACTGTAATTGGGTGACATTGCATTCAGTGTGTAACAAGTTTAGTGCATTTGTTGGTGTATCTCAAGGGACAGGCAGAGGCTTCTCCACCTCATCTCTTCAACCTTAGAGTTTGTTACCAGTACAAAACAAGATCAACAGACAAAAATGATGGCAGTAACTCATTTTTGTCACTCTGGTCTCAATGATTTGTAGCGGAAAGTTTCTTATTTAAGTAATTTTCACAAGTCCTTTGGATACTTTAACCAATTATATTAATAGTTGGCAGGTTCAGAATTTACAAAAGTCTGAAAGTTGAAGATTGGTAGACTTACACAGAGTCTCTGAAAATATATAACTTTGGTAGAAGTGACGCAGCTGCTTTTATAAATTGAATAGGAGCTCAAAATGAAATGGGTGATTCTGAGCCTTAACTCCATGCTTGCTTCATTAAGGACTTTTGCATTACAGAAAGGCTGGTCAAAGAGAAAATGGTTTGGGGACTGTAAGATAGGAACAGGGCTAAACATTCAGTGGGAAGGTCTATTACTATGTCACTGGTGACATTTCCTTGAGCACTACTGCTTTTATCATTAGGTAAATGGCAACTCTGCAGCACATCATTTTTCCACATAAGTGACTTTCAGTGTGATTATATTAGGCGAAATCCACTTTCTATCATAAGAAAGGCTACTGGTCATGTGGCTACTGTCTAAGTTGGATGGTCAGATTGTGACGTGTTCATTGTAACTTGTTCATTGTTAGTCTGAGTAAAGAAGGGGTGTAAAAAGTGTTACTTTGGAGCCAGAGTGGATAAAACTGTCGTAGAGACTGGTTAAGAATGTTCGAAAATTGACCATTCCATTGGTGCAGTCTTGGTCTAGACTGCCCAGTAAGTGGTCCGGTAAACTAGGAAATCTGTCCATCATTAGACAGGCAATCAGCTCCTTCCAGAAGGAGCAAGATGATCAGAGTTGGAGTTTTCAGACAGGGAAAATGTTGTCAGCTGGCCAATGTCAATTATAGCGTACACCATCACACTATTGTTTTTGACCATAGTGTATAAGGCTATGGCAATTTCAGCTTTTGAAACTGACTTGAAGTGGTCCCAGGTTGATGGCGCTGTCTGAGCCTTTAGACTGATGTATTTAAGGAGGTCTCACCACTTGGATGGGTTGAACTTCCACTCATCTGTGTAGCAACTAGCCAGCCAAATAGATTTCACTGTAATGCGTCTTCCCTTCCTAGTAATTAGCTTATACAGGGAGCGTCAGGCTATTTTGTCAGGTCTAGCTTCTACTCTAAAGTGCATTGTTACCCAGAACCCCACAACCACTGATATAGGTATGTAGGATCCATTTATATGAAATACCTCATGTTCATTGATAAAAAGAATGAAAGGAACGTCTCCCATAACATTTTATCTTTGTGTTCCCCAAATATATGTTTCATTCATGGGGTAAGTCTGGTTACAGAAGAGGGGGCATGGCTGTGGCCTGTCACATGAAAGTTGATATCTACATCTGTCTGTAGCAGCTCAGCTGGGAACTAAGGATCCATGGCAGTCATTCATAGAATCAACTGAATCAAAACAAGTTCAAGTCTCCATCTATTTACGGTCCACAGTCCAATTTTCTGCATCTTTAACTTACAAGGGCATGGACAATTGCCACCCTCTGTAAAAATCTGCTGATTCTCTGCATGAGTCCAAGTAGAACAAACTCTCGAAGTTATATCTTCTAGGGTCTTACCATCTGCTTTATCCATATCTCATATTGTCTGCTTGATAGGCGTGATATTGGCAGTATGGATGCTATTAACGATTGTAAATTTCATGCATGTCGGGTTTAAGTGGCTATTATGGCAGATAACTTTGGATGTATATCCCTAGTTAGTGTTGGTTTCAGATGGTTATGTTGGTTTGAGCTGCTTTATGTGTACAAAGATGGATCTGAACGTGAATCAAACACTTTTTGGACAGTTAAGCAATGCTTGTGATTGTGTTAGCGTGTATAAAATATTGAGATTTTGGTTAAAGTTGAGTTACAATGGTTCAAGTTCTCAAGTGTTATTGATATTGGCAGATTTCAACATAGATTTTTCATTGATAATGGATCCCAATAGAAATGTGTATTTGTGTTGTTAAGTCTTGGCATTTTTCAACATATAAGACAAACCAAATAAAAATGTATTGTGAAAAATTGTAAAATCAATTAGTTTCATGAAAAAGATTGTTTTTTTTATTTCTGTTGTAAAATCCTGGTGAATGCATGCATTGTGTTTTAAAAATAGGATATCATGTTCGATATCATCTTGCGATAATAAGATCATTGGGGCCTACTTTCACAAATTGTTGAGCAATTTTAATTGGCTAATGGAGGCTTCCATTTGTAAACATGGCTGGATTCATGCACTGACTAACATAACATAGTAATCTACCTAGGATTAATGGAAAATGGGGAAAAAGGTGAGAACGGAATTTGGTTGAGGTTCATGGACGTTGAAGGGTTTTTCCAGGTGCAAACGTTTGCACTTCATTTATTAATCATGTTTCTTTGGAAACAAGGTTTTTCCTCCAGGTTATTGCCTGTTTCGATTACATTGGAGATTGGAGTGGTTGAATTTATTTGAAACTTTTCGATTTGGTTGACTATTGTTACAATGAGGAGAAATAAAGCCCTTTCATTGAGGAACCGAGGTGGACCCAACCAAGTGAACATTTCCAGGTAGGTGTTTCCGAGAAATATGTGATTGTTTTTGCTGGGAAGGTTGTACAAGGTCAGATTCGCCTCAGTGGATGTCTTGTCTCAGCTGTTATTTACAATTTACATCGTTTTATGGCTCTGTTTTTTCAGAATGATTTCTTCTAGTTGAGTGAATACAAAGCCTGTTTTGTTCTTCAAAAAGTGTATCATACCATTTTAAGTTGTGGAATTTGTTTGCTGTTGAGCTTGGTAATTGTATAACTGTGTTATGTTCCTGCGAATGTACATTTCATGTAAATTCCATACTCCTATGGATTTCTAAGTCAAAGATGATATTGAAGCCTCTTTGTGTCACAAAGGAGGATTGTGTTATTGGTTGTGTGAAAACTGATACTATACAATCATACTCTAAGATATATCCTCTGTAATCCTCTTTACACATTTAGCAGTATCTGCCAAGGTCAGAGAGATCCGTTCATTCACAGAACTCAGGAGCACCAACGTTCTATCCCACTTGATCATGACCGACCTGTGTTGGCTAAGTATTTCCACGGTATTGTGTCCGGGATTATGTCAAGCCTGTGACAGCTCTACTGAAATGTGTGTCATTGTCTTCCTCATGTCAGAGGACACTGTTATCGTAAAGGTGCAACTCCTTTCGCAACTAATAGCCGGTCTTCACACCTATTTCATGTCAGTTGCGATACCTGTCTCGCTGTTTACACACGCCAGTCATCGTCCCATTGTTGATGATGCTAGTGGATGAATACAACTTTTCCTTCTAGGATAGTAATGAATCACTAGGTGGCTGACTCATGGCTGTCAACATGTGTGGGACAGATACTTCCAATCTTCCAGAGGGGCTATATGTTTTGATTTCTCCTCACCTGTCATTCCCCATGCTGATGATGATTAAAACCATTAAGATGTCAGACAGGTTGGCTGACACACAAGAGCAGACATGGATAATGTTCTGGAAGAGAGGACATGGTCGTAGATATATAATTCTACAAAAGCTGATACTGACTTAAGCTATGGATCTGTCATTTCTCATTACTTTGTACCTGTACTGATAGAAAATAAGTTAAAGCTATGTGTCATGGCATGACAGATTAACCATACTAGCAGGAAAGAATTGAATGGTCCTTCTCTTGTGTATGATATGTGTGTTATTTCACTGTTTGGGGGTGGTGGGGGAGTCTTGTGGTTAAAGCGTTTGCTCATCATGCCAAAGACCTAGGTTCGATTCCCCACATGGTACATGAGACCCATTTCTGGTGTTCCCTGCTGTGATATTGCTGCAATATTGCTAAAAGCAGCTTAAAACTAAACTCACTCCCTCACTCACTGTTGATTGGGTTAAGTTCTCCAGTAGTATTTGAAATGTTTTTATTGGAGTTTTGTCTTTGTGGAAAAAATATTACATTATGACATAATAACAATTATAGACTCTTGTAGAGGTCGATATCGGTTTTTATTGACCTGAGTAAAACAATATCAACCGAGCTTGCGAGGTCGATATTGTTTTTCTCAGGTCAATAAAAACCGATATCGACCTCTACAAGAGTCTATAATTGTTTTATTATATAATGAAAGAGAAACGGGTTTTAACATAAACTTTTAATGCACACACTGTGCCATCTATCCGAGTGATCTGATTGGCTGAAAAGCGGGGGAAGCCCCTTTCTTACGGGATTCCTTGTCTATTTTTAGTAACCCAAGTCAATATCGTAATTTATCAGAAAACTCAAGTCAATATCGTGTTTTGTAGTCAATCATGTGACGGTATTTTGACCAATCGTGGTACAGGAAAAATACTACCTATATAATAATTATCATTCAAACATGCTTCAACATAGGATATCGCTTCTGTGAGATCAAGTGATATCTGACAGGAGATGTGGCT